AATAACCACCACTGAAACCCATACTTGGGCAGAACGGCCAGGAAATGCTTCACATTTTGGCCCCTTCTCCCACCTCCTCCACACGGATGCAGCAGCTCCCTGCAATTTGAAAGAAGGTGTGATGGCAGCGTGAGTGCCTGAGTGTTTTCAGTGCAACCCTTCTGCTGCAAACAGCAGAAGCAGAACTGGGCACTGAGCAAAGCGTACGCAAGCAGCTCGTCAAGGAAGTAAAAACAACAGAGAAACTCTTCTCGCTTGTTGTCAGCCAAGCAGTGGGTTTGGGGTTTTGTGTTCATCTTTTGAAAGTTTACCAGAAACAGATCTAACTCGCCCTGAATTATTGACAAGTGGTTACACAACTTACATCAGCGCTACAAAATGATTTTAGTGGTGAACGGGGGAAAAAGAAAACAGCCTCTAACTGAAAGCACCGAGTACTCCTCACTGAGGGTTTAACTCTTTTCAAATTTTCCCCTTTCAAAGAAGGATCAAAAGCACCAAAACAAACACAAAGGCGCTTCTAAGCAGGTTTATTTGTTATTTCTTGAAGATAAAAGGATGCCTCTCCAGGTGTCCTGCTGCACCACATCTTCCAGCAAAGCTGTTGCACAGAGCAAGGGGAGGGGAGGCATCCTGAAGGGCCTGTGCTCCCCTTCCATGTATCTTCACCCCTTCCAACAGAGCCCAGAACCTCCGAGTGACAAGAGAAAAGCTCTCCCATCTGCTCTGCCCTTGTGAAGCCCCAGCTGGAGTTCTGCATCCAGGCCTGGGGCTTCTACTACAGGAGAGATGCAGAGCTGTTGGAGCAGGCCCAGAGGAGGGCTGAAAGGATGATCAAAGAGCTGGAGCATCTCTCCTATGAAGACAGGCTAAGGGAGCTGGGCTTGTTCAGCTTGAAAAAGAGAAGGCTATGAGGAGACCTCACTGTGGCCTTCCAGGACCCGAAGGGAGCTTGCGAGCAGGAAGGGGACTGATATTTTACATGGTCTGATAGAGATAGGACAAGTGGAGATTCAGATCAGATGTTAGGAGCTGGTGGGGGGTACCCAGCCCAAGGCAGGGAAGTCAGAACTGAATGATCTTTAAGGCCCCTTCCAACCCAAGCCTTTCTATGATTCTCTGGTCTTTTCCTTAGACTCCTCCATGCTCAGCTCCACATGATCCAACCAATCACTGGGTAACGCTGGAACAGGAGCAAAGCAGAACTTCTAACAGAGAGAACTGGTCCCACACCAAAGAGGTGCCCTTGAGAGTGTCAGTGACGTAGCTAACAGCACCAACAAAGAGCTACCAGAATAGCTGAAACAATGGGAGAAAATAAATCGGTACCGCTTTATAACCTTCTATCCACGGGAAGGGCTTGTGCAGCAAATACTGCATTAGGCAAAGAACAGCAAATCGTTAAGCCCTGAAAACTCACAGGCTCACTTGAGTGTGGTTTTCAATTAAATGATACATCATCTTTGTTGCCCAGGAAGCAGAGATTCCTTGAGGGCAGCAGAGAACCCAGCAGACTAAAAAGCCATTAAGATGCCCGGCATCATTTCCCGTCCCTGCTGGATGCTGACTGTGATCCCATTCAGCCCGTGCACCAGTGTGTTTCAGCCTACAGAGGGGAGGGGAATCAACTCTTTGAAAGAGGGGAATCAACTCTTTGAAAGGGTTGATATGTGTAGGATGAGGGGAAATGGTTTTAAGTTGAGGGAGGGGAGATTTAGGTCAGACATCAGGGGAAAATTCTTTACCCAGAGGGTGGTGAGGTACTGGAACAGGCTGCCCAGAGAGGCTGTGGATGCCCCGTCCATCCCTGGAGGTGTTCAAGGCCAGGTTGGATGGGGCCCTGGGCAGCCTGGTTTAGCATTAAACATGGAGGTTGGTGGCCCTGCATGTGGCAGGGGGTTGGAGATTCATGATCCTTGAGGTCCCTTCCAACCCTGGCCATTCTGTGATTCTGTGTCTCCAGCCCATCCCCTCAGCACTGCCAGCCCTATCTGCACGAGGGACCATGAGTTGAGCTTCACAGACCACCAAGAAGGATATACATTTGTATGGAGGCTGCAGTGATGCACAGGTCACAGTGAGCTGATGGCTGCAGAAGCGGCTCCAGCATGGGGTGATGCTCCCATTGCAGCACTGTGTGCAAAAGGGACCCTGGCTGGGACTTCGTGACATCAGTGGTGACAGCAACACGACGGTGACATCGCAGACCTAGACAGGGGCTCTGCAGCAGGTGTGTGAGCATAGCCAAAGAACTACCTGGGTCTGAGCAAAAACTGTACGATGACAAACCCCTTACTTAGACATGAGGCACTGGCACAGGTTGCCCAGAGAGGTGATGGTGCCCCATCCCTGCAGACACCCAGTATCAGGTTGGATGGGGCTCTGAGCACTGATGGAGCTGTGGGTGTCCTTGTTTGCTGCAAACAGTGGGACCAGATGGCCTTTAAAGGTCCCTTTCAAGTCAAATGATTCTATGATTGTAAGTTTAAATGTTTTCTTTGTACCTCTTCCATGAGGTAAGTGTCCCAAATACTTCCTGTGTAAATACAGCACCCAACCACTGGGTGCTGGAATTGGATGATCATTAAGGTCCCTCCCAACCCAAGCCATCCTATCACTTACAAGTGAAAACAAGAGCACCTGACAGCATTTTAGGATTTTAAGAAAGGAACAGAAAAAGCCCTCAGATGTGAAACCACAACCAGCTCCCATAACAGCACCATTCTCTCTTCACTTCTTACAGAGGAGCCAAAGTCACCAGCAGACACCTCAAATCCCATGAACTCATTCCTGAAAGCTTTTGTCTGCAGCACTGCTCAGACACCTCTGCAACAGGTACCACAAACAGCCAGCAACAGGGACAAACCTGGGAGCTGCTCTTTCCACAGGGCTGCCAACATCCCTGTTTCCATCAGCAAGGCTCAAACAACAACCCTCTCTGAACCTACCCAGAAAGGAGAGTGCTGTCGCTGCTGGCTCTGCCATCACCCTCCAGTTCCCAATGGTAACCAGAGGCTGCTTCTCCTGCAAACATCTCACCAGAGAGATGCTTTGTGAAGTGTTGCAACGCTTGAAAACCTTGTTAACAGCAGGAAATCTATTTAAAGTGGAATGAATATGATCATTAAGGAATAAAGAGGGAGTTTCAACACGGCAAAGACCTAGGGCTAGGGCGGGGAGGCAGTGGCTCCACTAGCATATTTACAGTTTTACATCTCAAAGTCCCATCTCAGGATAATGGGAAAGGGAACTCCAGCAGATCAAACTAACTTAATACAAAGCCAAAATGTCCATTTGCTAGAGGAAAGAATGAAATTTAACACTGTAGGTAGGGGAAAAAAGAGAAAAGGCAACGGATGGGAGGTGCCAGGTGGGACGAAGGCTGTGATCCCCGCACAGATAATTCCAGGGGCTACATTGTCAGCCCCTAAATTAGGGGAAATCCAGAGCACCTCAATTACAATCCACCTGGAGCCCTTCCTCCCCACAGCACACCCCACAAATGGGAATTTAGCCTTTCCCCTGGCTGGGCTGCAGCTGCTATGCTGATGTTCAGAGCTGTCTCAGCTCAAGCACGCATTGTCTGTTCTCAGTGTTTGGGGATGTAGCTGGGAGAAAAAAGGGAAAAAAGCAGAGCCAACCCACCCCTACAAACCGAGCTGCAAGGTCACCCTGCCACAGGCTGGATCTGCTCAGGTGCTGGAGAGAAAAATAAAGAAATCTCAAGAGCAGCAGGAGCTCCGGTTTTTTGTTTGCTTGCGATATGGCTGCCCCACTTCCAATCAAAAAGTACCTGTTATGTACAGAGGGAAAGGTGAGCTTTTTGTGGTAAAAAATCCTGAATTCACCTGTTTGTTAATCAGATGAGTTCACCAGCATAGCTTAATCATTAACCAGAAGCAGTGCTCCTAGTGTTGGCTCCTCGATGTTTAAGAGTGTGGGGACTGATGGTGACAATGTGTGACACCAACACGATGACACTGTCACAGCCAAGCCTAATTCCTGCCACTGTTCCACCCCGGAGAGGCAGAGTCAAGCACAGGACCGCTTTCTGCTTTCCACTGCTCTCCAGCCAAACTCAGGTCCCACTCCAAAGCAATAGCAGCTCACTCAGAGGAGAATTACGGTACCAGCAATATAAAAGTCCATCAGATAAAAGCAGCCATAGTGATACATGTCATTTCTGCACTAGTTAGAGCCAACTGCCCGGTGCGATTCACAGGATTCCCACTCCTGGTCTATACAGGAACAAGCACTCCCAGCTGTGCAGGGGAGAAGCTGTGGACCCACAGCCATACAGCAGCTGCAGCCAGCCCAGCCTCTAACTGCCTCTTGCTTTTACCATTCTGTTCATTTCTATATATATTCTACTGTCTTTCCAAATTACCGTTCCATTACAACAATTTTCCTTGAAGATATTGCTGGCTGTGGGCAAACCACAGGAGTGTTCAGGTTGTTACATGCATCAACTAGTTAAGTGCCACGAGGACGCTGAGCGCACACTTCTTGCTCTCCAAGTTGCATTAATCCTCACCGTAACACACTCTGATCTCCCAGGTTTGGGGCTTATAGAATCCTCAAGTTCTGGACTCAGCTCACCTGATCAGAAGCCATGAGCACCACAAGCCACCTCGCAATGTAACCCTTGCACACCTCTTCAGCACAAACCCTCCACGTACCACTCTGTCACCACAGCAAATTAGCTATTCCATTTTGCAAAACATAGTGAGAAAGCGCAGTTGATTAGGGCAGTAATTGCATCTTTATAAGCTTTTAAAGCAACTCTCGTAGCCAAGAACGCAAGCTAGACTGACTGCACATCTCATGTATGGAAAATAACCCAGGGAAAGCCAAGGACAGAGAGAAACGGTGACTTTTGCTTTCAGCATTGTCAGTAATTAATTCCACATGAAGAGGTGCTTCAGCACAAGCCACCCCCGTGACGAGTTGAAACCATTTTTTGCCAGAGGAAAGAAAGAAACAAAGACCTGAAGCCTTACCTCTATCTTCCAGAGGTGAAAGATGGTTCATGGGAAAAACTGGGCTCTTCAGGTGATTAAACAGCAAACCAGCAGGGTCCTACGGCTTCAGCACATGCGGGCATTGGCCGGCCATGGGCAGTCTTCACATGAACTCTTCTGATAGGGACCTAGCACCAATTCCCGAATCCTGCCAAGGAAAAGACAGTTTGTCTGCATCATCTCTCAAGGAACTGACAAGGTGCAATTTTAAGTGGGAAAACAGCAGAGTTAAGGTCAACTACTAATTTGCAGCAGCGTTGCTAATGGCTCGTTGACCTCAACGCTGTAAACTGTGAAGGGTTTTCATTATTACTATTATTTCTTTGTAAAAGAATTCGTCAAGGTTCCTCACCCTGCAAGTTACTGGGGGGAAATAAAATAAATGAGAGCTGAGCACTCTGTATCCATCGTTCTCCCCTCCCTCTTTGCCAACGCCACTCCTAAGGAGTAACGATTACCCTCCAGAAAAACACACGCATCTCGGAGCGAGACAGCATCTATGCAACGAGGAGATAAAAACGAGCACCACAAAATTACAGTTTGGTGTTTACAGGCAGACCACCACCGAACTCATAAAACACAGAGATAATGAGATCGCTCGGTGCCTCACAAAGGCGCGGATGGTAAATTGCTGCTGTTACTAAGCTTTGAGCTAGATCCGGATCAAGGGGATTTCTCAAGTCCCTCCTCTTCCGCAGACCTGCGGCATCGCCTTCGATAGCGACGCAGCCTCCGAACCCGAGACGAGCATAAATAATTATTTCCCTCCCGAAGCACACGTGCCATGAAGAGGTATCAAGATGTCCATTTGCTTCTGCTATCCTCTCTCCTGTGAGCCGCACCAGTCTGTGCCTTGTTCCTCTCCATCCGAACGCTGGTTATTTCAACAGAGCCGTGCTACTTGGCTGAAAAGTAAAACTGTACTCTTCGTATTACTAAGTACTGCCTGGATTCTCATGAAAAGTCATTTAAAAACAACTACAGAGATGAGCTTTAGAAAATGGTTTCCAAGCCCCTCCATGCATTGCAGGTTCTACAGCCAAGCTCGCTCCTTGCACAGCCATCGATGAGACACAAGTCACAGTAGTGCCCTGCAACTTTTCTTGGAAGCATCCACTAAGATGCAATCAATCTTCATTAAGGCTGAAAGAGCTGGGCTTGTTCAGCCTGAAGAAGAGAAGGCTGCGAGGTGACTCCACTGCAAACTTCCAGTACCTAAAGGGAGCCTGCAAACAGGAGGGGAGCAAACTCTTTGAAAGGGAAGATAATGGAAGGACAAGGGGAAATGGTTTTAAATTGAAGGAGGGAAGATTTAGGTTGGATGTCAGGGGGAAGTTGTTTCCTATGAGAGTGGTGAGGTGCTGGAACAGCTGCCCAGAGAGGCTGTGGATGCCCCGTCCATCCCTGGAGGTGTTCAAGGCCAGGTTGGATGGGGCCCTGGGCAGCCTGGTCTAGTATAGGATATGGAGGTTGGCAGCCCTGCATGCATCAAGGGAGTTGGAGTTCATGATCCTTGAGGTCCCTTCCAACCCAAGCCATTCTATGATTCTATGATTAGTAACCTCAGACACCTCGGAGCCAATAGGAAACTCAAGTGCATAACTGTAGGGACCCTCTGCAGTCCAGAAGCAGTAGGTCCACATGTTCCCAATGGAGATATCCCATGGGCACACGGCCCCATGGACCATGGACATGCAGCCCCTACAGGAGATGCTGTCCCAATGGAGATGCCCATGGTCAATCCATCGTAAAAGCTGGCACAGAGCTGGCAGAAAACTCTTCTTTTTTTTTTTTGTGGCCTTTTTTTATGACACACAGCTCAGCTTGCAGGACTGACAGACAAGCTGTGAGGCCAGGTGTGGGACTGGAAGAGGCAGCAGGCAGATCAGGTTTGGTCCCTGAGGAACCACCACTTTCAGAGTCCGCATTAGTGTGATAAATTACTTCCAAGGTATGGCTTTTTTCTTTCTCTCTCTCTCACATGGTTACAGCATTACTAGGGTAAATTTAGGGCTCCAAATACGAGCACCTAAAGTGAGATGAGGAGAGAACAATCGCTGCCTCAGACCCATTCCTCTCTTGCTATTACAAAAGAAATTACATGGATGCAGTCATTAGAATGCCATCCGTCATTAGCAACACAATACTATATGTCACTCAGTGCAATTCAATCATGAAAAATCTAGGAGGCAAAAGGAGGGAGGACAAAGCCACAGGGAGGGGAGGTCTGCTGAAACACCCAGCTCTGCACACACATGCACGGCAATGGGCACAAAATGGCACCCACACTGCCATATGGTTCTGGTTCCCAGCCTAAAAGCTGGATAAAACCCACAGGAAACAATCTTGGAGTTCCTAAATAAGATACGTGGCTCAGCTCACCAATGAGATATGGTCCAGAAGAGGAAGGGAGCATTTTAATGGCAGACACAGGGATTCTGATGAAAGCCTGAAGTCAGCAGTGGACACAGTGGAATCATTTGTAACAACTAGATTACTCATTAAGGCAAAACTTAAACCAACACCCTCCATCCTCAGCACGGTGGGAGGCCTTTTTCACCACCCTTAGGATAAACAGATGGGCTGATTCAATGGAGGGAGCTCTAAAATACAAAAAACCATGAATACATATGGAAATACTGAGAATGCCTTTCTAGATCCCTAGAGCGAGGTGTGTGGCTGGGGGAAAATCAGGCTCCTACTGATAAGAAGGGAGATTGTTCCTGTCTTATACCCACCTCAAGCTGCCTTTGATGAAACTGAAAGCAACTATCAGATTAGTATAGAGAGATATATGTGAGAGAGTCAATTGTTCCCATATTAAAATGTACCCGAAATGAAATGGTACAAAACAGCAACAGAAGGAAGAACCACAGCACTGGTGGGTTTGAGTGTATCAAGTTATACTGCTTATCCAGGAGCAACAAATTTCAACAGTGGCTGAATTTGAGCAGCTACCAACAGTATTACAGGAACAGCAGAAGAATGCAATGAATATTGCTGTTTGTTAATTAAGAAAGAAAGCAGATGGTATAGTCAAGCCACAGGATGATATAGAAACATCTTCTCCAAGTGGCATTTCAGGCAGATGTGAAACAACAGCTAACAGAGCTGGTCATTTTATGTTGGGAGATCTTTGTAGAATCCTCAGAGTTGAAAGGGACCCTTCAAGGCCATCTGGTCCAACCTCCTTGCAATGAACAGAGACACCAACAGCTTCATCAGCACTCAGCCCCATCCAGCCTGACCTTGGCCGTCTGCAGAGACGGGGCATCCACCACCACTCTGGGCAGCCTGTATCCCAGGGACTTTGATGATCAGAGTTGCATAAGAAATCCTCTGAACCAGTCAACCACTGCTCAGCAAGAGTTAATTTGAAGATTTGAGAACACAAAGACACGCTGTTGTACCAAGATTTTAAACACCAGGAGGACGACCAGGCAACAAGGAGCATTCAGTGCAGCTCACATCACAAGGAAGACGATGGATGCGCTGCTATAAACTCTGATTAGGAATCACAGGAAGCAAATAACTGATGTTTATCAACACAGATCAGTTCGGTGTGTTTTTATCAGGACTGCAAGACTGCCTGCAAACCCTAACAGCTCTGATGCAACGTACTTGGAGTTCTGTAAATCATTTAACTTTGCAAAGTACCATTTCCAAAGTAACTGGAATTGCATTACGTAACACGGAATACATTAAATAGATTAATAATTGGCCAAGTAACAAGTCATAAAATAGAACCAGATCATCATTAATCAGGTGCTTGGGCTGAAATCCCAGAGGAATCAGCCCTTGTGCCCTACATTACTCACGTTCCCACAGGCCAGGAGCAAAAGCCACTGCATCTCCAATTTACACTGGCTCCTACAGCTGCAAGTAAAGGACACAACATCTGCATCCTTCACCAAAGTGACTGACTTGTTGGACCGGATGATCTTGAAGGTCTTTTCCAACCTTGGTGATTCTGTGACTACAAACAAAGGCCTTGCACATCTTTATCATGATGTACAAACTTGCAGTTAGGGCCAGATCCCCCCTCTCCAAGCCAGATGAGCTGTAGCAGAGAAAGGATGCAAGGGTAGCTTCATGCTAGCAGCTGCTTGCTTGGTGCAAGAATGAGGGAGCAGCAACTGAAAGTAGCAGGTGTCAAGTCCAAACCCAAACAAGAGGCAACAGTTTCCTCACACAAGACCCAGCACTGCCGTGCAGCTCCCTGCCAAAAGATGCTGTGCAAACTGCAAGTGTGTGAGAGTACAGGGAGGACTGATGAGGCACAGAGCAAAGATCCACCGGCGGGGAGCAGCGGGATGGAAATCATCTCCGGCTGAGAGAGTCCTGGAGGTGTTAAACGATCGGGGGCCGGAGAGCTGGGGAAGTGTCAGACAGCTCTAACGTCCCTGTGGAGGCTGCACTTTTGGAAAGAGGCTATCTGTTAATGCAGAGCTGCTATTTGCTGCAAACATCTTGCAAAGAAGTAACTTTGGGGAAAAACCACTGTGACGGTGGAGAAGTGAGTGCATACAGCTCCCCAGTGCAGCTCCCTTTGGCAGCAGCACACAAAGCCCTAGCAAAGCAGTGGCACACAGTGAGGCACTGGCACAGGTCACTCTGAGAGTAGCGGATGTCCCTGCAGACAGACAAGGTCAGGCTGGATTGAGCACGGATGGAGCTGTGCGTCCCTGTTCAGTGCAGGAGTTGGACCACAGATGGTTGCCTTCCAACTCAACCAATTCCATGATGCCACAGTTCTGTGCTGTTGGACCAATGTGAATGCCTCCTTTTAGGGGTATTTAGGATGCTCAGGCAGCAGCCTGAAGGCAATGCTAATTCCCACTGTTTTCCCCGTGAACGTACTCACTTTCAGGTGCCCTTTAAATTGGATTTTCTTCACAACACATAAATGCTTTTATGCATCTGGAAAGCCTCTTTTTCTCCTTATCTAATTTTTCATGTGCCACTGCCTGATTTATACCCAATACCAAATAAGTATTGCAGGAGATGGAGAGAAAAACCATTTTGCAAGAGGGCTGAATCCATTTGCCAGTTAACTGTCACAAATTAAAAGGTCAGAAAAACAATGGCTGTATTTGGAAAGAATAATTTTACACAACTAAGGCGGCAACAACAACAACAAAAAATATA